AGGAAGCTATTCAAGGATAGACCCGCTGAGAAGGTTACAGTTGCCTCTTTATATCAAGCAGACTGGGAATCGTCATTACTCATAAGGTGTTATGTAGAATATTCAGAAAAGTACTTAGCTCTAGATTAAATGTTGGTCTGATTATGTAATTGTGTCCCAGAAGCACCTCCCCCCACAAAAAATTATAGGAGTAAAAATCATCTAATACACAAGGTAAAATTCACAATGTATGTTACCCAATCAAAGATTGCTATATATGTAAGAAGAAGGAAATAAGACCCATAGTAAGGAGAAAACTTAATTAATCAAAGCTGTGGCACTGTGGGATTAAAGCATAGGGTTGGCGGTTCAAACTCACCAGCCACTGCTTTGGAAGAAGTGCAGCCAGAGTGCTCCTTGGAGGCTAGGATGGCTAGACTTCGTCTCTCATACTTTGGACATATTGTCAGGAGGGAACAGTTGCTGGAGAAGGATGTCATGTTTGGTAAGGTGGAGGGTCAGAGAAAAAGAGGAAGACCCCTAACGAGATGGATTGGCCAGGTGGCATCATTGATGGAGTCAAGTGTGGCAGCGGTAGTGAGGTTGGCCCAGGATCGGACATTGTTTCGTTCTGCTGTGCATGGGGTCGCTATGAGTCGGTTCCGACTCGATGGCACCTGACAACAACAACATACCAAATCTATAAGGAGCTCTGGTAGTGTAGTGGTTACGAATTGGGCTGTGAACCGTAAGATCAGCAGTTCGAAACTACCAGCTATTCCGTGGGAGGAAGGTGAGGCTTTCTGGTCCCGTAAAGATTTACAGTTGGAACCGACTCCACGGCACATAACCAACCAACTAACCATACCAATTCTATGTAAATTCTACTAGAAAATGGAAAGATTATTTTCCAGTTCATTCTATGAAGCTAACATTGCCCTGACTATAAAATTAGACAAAGACATTATAAGAGGTTTACCCCAGAAATGCAAAGTTAATATTTTAAAAATTATGACCTTAGGTCCGACAAATATGTCTTAGTTATAATACCAAAAGCATTAAGTATTAGATAAAAATTAATAAATTGGCCTTTTTCAAATTATTATTCTTAAAAAGGCAGAACAAAACTTTCAAGGTAATGGACATATCTATTAACCCAAAAGTTTTCTTGATAGTTTATTATCTTGATTCTGAACCTTCCATCCATGGGTGTGTGTGT